TTATTCCTTTCATTAAATGGTGAATTAAACCCCACTTAAGAAAAATCCTTACTTAAGAAAAATCCTACTAAAAACGCCCGAGGAAAGATACCGCAGGAGCGCGCGATAAATCCCGCCCGCTACAAAGCCTACATGTAGTTTACGGTAGCAAGCAAGTTCTCTCGGGGGCGAGGGAGGGGGGGTGGGGTGAAAAGGCTGTCCTTCTCTTCTCCTCGTCCATTCAACTTCTGGAAATTATATCCTATAGCCAAAAAAATAAAATGCTGGGACGTGTTCATAACCGAAGCAAAAGAAATGTATCCATCTATTGATAGACTATTAACGAATGCTAACACGGAGTGTTAGTTTGAGAGTGGATTTATCTGTCTGTCGATACTGCCTAAAACTTTAAAGCGGTGAGCGAAGAGCCTGGTAAAGAGAAATTACTGACAGCGATTTGGTTATGTACATTCGTTTCTATGTCTTCCGTATGTAAAGAAAAAAAAATGCGAATATCAGAAACATTAACAACTCTAGAAGACCGCCTATTGTTACTTTCCCTCCTACATTAGGGAGCGAGTTACCGATTGAAATGTGATTTTTCTTTTTAGAAATGCTGGGCCATGTTTTATGTGAAATGTTTAAATTTCTCCACATTATTGTAATTCCATGTTTACTTTTTTATATGTCAGCCGGGCTGGTCAATTACTTTAATTCTTTAACTTTTTTATTCCTTCCTATTTATTAAATTAGTTATGCCGAACATAATGTATCAACACGTAGTTACGCGCTCAAAATAGCGCGATATAAATAAAATAAGTATTGGATTATCTAAAAGCATCATCAACACTGAGAGGTTCTAACATTTGCCTTCGCACTAATTCAGAATTAGATTTTCAACTCGTCGCTCGCTATTCATAATGACCAAGTGGGACTCGATAATCAGTGCCACTTTGATTTATTTCCGTATAGTAACATGCGCCTTTCAGTTCTCAAAACAGTTGTCACTCTGCATTGATTTCAAATTTTTACCTGGGTACCAGACGTTTTATTCGCGTGCGGCATGATGCTTCGGGCCTACACATCTTCGGCCGATGGCCGAAGCTACGATCAGGGTTGCCGAAACCGGAAACCGCGTATGAGGACTCCCTGGCACCTGGAGCCTAGTTGTTCCAAGGCCGATTAGCGCTAACCTAGGGTTAAATTTTAATCTAGGTTTCTTTTGTTTTTGTGCAAGTGTTTTTTCAGAAGCTCTT